TTTTAAAATTAATAGTAACTGTTAAAATGTGTGGTTGTTGTTGTGTTGTTGCATATTTTTTTATTTGATCATATTATTATGATTTATATGTATATAATGTAATATTTTACTTAAATTTGCTTAGTCTAACACACCGTTTCTTTGCCTTTGTTTAACCCTTACTTGCTCCAACTAATTATTGTACGGTCTATTACCGCTAACTGTCTTAACTAACTGTTTTATGATTTTTAAACGTTTGTGGTTGATTTTCTCAGTGTATAACTCTAGTGTAGTTTTGAAAATTTTTTCTCTGCACCGCTAAGTGAAACGTTTAACAGTTTTTGTGATTAATTTATGCCTTGACATATTTTTGCAATATGTTTTTTTTATTTTTTAATTTTATTCAATTTTTTAAATTAAATTTAATGTTGAATTAATACGCTTTTATGTTCAAAAATTATTTTTCACGCATTAACTTTTTAATATAATTTTAACACTACTTTTATATTATACCGTTCGTTCATAATTTTATTTGAATTGTGTTTTTATTTCTATTAACATTTATTTGATTTCCCGTTTGTGATTTTACATTTTATTTATTTATTTATTTATTTCTTTTTAATAAAATTACATTTATCCACGAATTGGTTTGATTTTCCTTCACATGCATAAAAATTTAAGGTCTGTTTATAATGGACGGAAACTCATTTAGGCATTTTCTTATTTAACTTATTGTTGTAGTTGTTGTTGTTTCGTCTATATTAAGTTGTCTTGCTGTATAATTTTGCTTGCTGGGTTATGTTTTTTGTATAAATTGTAAGCAATCATTAGTTTGTTAGCTTTCTTCTTCTTAAGTTGTTTAAGAGTAGAGTGTAGAGTTGGATAGAGTGTAGAATAGGTTAGGTTGTAGAGTAGTTATTAAAGTAGAGTGTGGTAAGAGTAAGGTAAGTCATCAAAAAATCTTCAAGTTCTTAAAAAGGTTGACTTAATTTATGTTTGAATTGGTTTTTTTCATATATGACTGTGTATTTTTGTTAGCTAAGTGATTTCAAAAAAAAGTTGAGCTTTTGGGAGAGCTTTCGTGTGCTTTAGAGTTAGTTGTATGGTTTTGTGGTAAGGACTGGTGTTGGGTAATGTCTGCACTGCGTTAATGTTTTTGTTGTAAATTTTATCAAATTTTAAGTGCTGTTTGTTCGAAAATGTGTAATGAAAAAACTATAAGGCGGAACATATGAAATTTTGAATTAGAAAAATCGCAAATTCAGCAAGACAAAATTGAGTGAAATTTATGCAGAGTCATATTTAACGAAAATTAAAGTTGTATAACATAAAATTTATTTAAACATATTGTGGTAGCATAGAAATTTACTTACAGAGAAAGTAAGGTTATTGTGCACAAAAATTTGCTAAAAAGTTTCCTGTAAGTTTAAAGCTTTCATTAAGCTTTTATCGGTGCATTTCTAAAATTAGATTAATCTGATCACAAAGTAATCATATGAGTGATTAAGCGTTCAATGAGTAAACTTAAAACTCTAGTATGCACTACAATTTTGGATTATAGGGTGCTACTTTAGAGCAAGAAATAATTTTATAATTAAATATATTTTATTATTTGAAAATCCGTAGACACAAGTGAAGGTGGGAAACGGAGAGGAGAATTTCTAGCGCATATTTATTTTTTAGCAAATTGTGTAAAATAAAGGTGTTCATTAAGCAAATAATTCATTTTCAGAATTTTTAGATTTTCAACTATTGTTTGTAGTTTTTGTAGTATTGTTTAATTTTATTTTGCGTTATATTTTGTATTAAACAAAAACCAAAAACATAAGTTGGTGAATTTCAAAAAATTTCTTTTTATTAAAAAAGTCAGAAAATTACAAAACAAAAAAATTAATATAATAGTAATTAATAAAATAATAATTTTTTACCAGAAATTTCCGTTGATTATAACCAGCCCTTAAATAAGTACGATGAGTATATATTTATACAATATATATATGTATGTATATGCTATAAATATGTATATGTAAGTAAATATATACCATTTCCAGTATCTATGCACATTTCAATGTAGTTTTTCGAGTACGTTTCGAGTCGACGAACTCGCGTCAATATTTTTGAGTATTTAAAAAAAATTTTTATATGATAGTTATTTGATTTATTTTCCATTTTTTATATACTTACACGTGACACGTGACGGTTGGTAATTGCATATTCAATGAAAATTAATTAAAACTTTATTTTTAGTTTTAATTTTATATATGTTTTACAGTAAAGTTTTCCCTTTTAGTACCAGTAACGAGTTTTTCTTTGCTTGTGTTTGCATATGTGTGTGTGTGTGATTTGAAAATTTTTGTGTTGTTTGTTTTTAACTCATTTTACAAATATTAATTTATTTTTGTTTTAAAAGATCACATTTCATTTTAAGTTGCCATTAATAAATATAATATTTTTTATTTCTATTTAAATACATTTTTTTTGCAATTTTTTTCAATATTTTGCAATGTTTTGAGTTACTTTGGTTGGAAAATTAATTCACTGTATATTTACATAAATTTTCATTATTAGTTAAGAGTGTGTTGGTGTCGTTTTTTATATTTTCTATGTAATATCGAACGTAATTTATTTTATAACTTCATAAATTACTAATACAAATATATATTTATATTTTATTTCATTTATTTTTTATTTACACAACGTTTTTAAATGTAAATAATGCTTTTACTGTTATGGTAATTTACTTTTATTAATATTATGTATGCCTCTTCAATTATTGTGTGAATGTTAATATATAGTCTCTTCTAATTGTGTAAAAATTTAAAATTTAGGTTATTTTGTGAAAAATTTTTGAGATGATTTAAAATTCTATATTAAATATAGTTTTAAATAAGTAGCTGAAATTTATATGTTTTGAAATTATTTGATTTGATTCGAGGTTTTTTTTTAGAGGTTTGGAATTTTAATTATTTGTTTTGTTACTATAAACTTTTTAAAAATAATTTTAAAAACTGTTTTTTGAAAACATTAAAAAAAATCAAAATTTTTTTGTTAAATATAAATTTAAGGAAAAATTTATTATAATGAAAGTATAAGGCAATTTTAAATTCAGAAAATAGCAGCAGTAAGTAAATAAATAAACATTTTTTATTTAACGATTTAAGAATATTTAAAATTAAAATTAAAAAAATTTTAAACAACAATTTATAAAATATAAAAAAAAAAATATTTAAAATAATTATGAACAAATTTTAATTTACTTTCGAAATAAATTTTTTCAATCGTAAATTGTAACTAAAAATAAGATTAAAACACTGAAATTAGTGTTTAGATAATTTTAAAAGTATAACAAATAGCAAAATATTTAAATACAGAAAACGAATATTTCATTAGTAATGATAATTAGTTTGATTTTTGGTAAAAAACAAGTTTTAAAAAAATTAAATAAATGAATAATACATTTTTTATATATAATTTTTGAAAAATTAAAAAAAAAAAATTTTTTATATTAATGAATAAAAACATAATTTAAAACTTTAATTTTTTTATATAATTTGCTATTACATGATTTTAACTATGTGTCTTTTTAAACTTAAATTTCCAAATGCAAGTTTTAACAAATTTTAAGAAGTTTTCAAAAAATAAAGGATAAAAAAATTATAAAATTAAAATTAAAAATTAAGAAAAACTTATTAAAACCAAAAAAAATAATGTTTTAAATATAATATGAAAAATATTTATTAAAAAATTTAACAAAAAACATTTAATAAAAATTAATAAAAACCAATAAAATAATCTCAACAAAAAAAAAAAATTTTATAAATGTTATTGAAAATTATAACAAATATTAAAAAGTTTAGTACCAAAAAAAGTTAATAAAAATTCATTTAAAAAATTTTTATACAAAAAATATTAAATACAAATTATTTAAATAAAATATATATTTAATAAAAAATTTAACAAAAGTCGTTAAAATATATGAAATTTTCGTATTTTTAGATTTCATATTTTAAGATTTTAATTAAAATAAAAATAACATAATTAAAAAAGTTAAATAACCGCTCGAAAAATAACTGTCGTATAAATAGGGAAAGTATTGAAATAATAATTAGTTAACAATTAATTTTCAGTGTTTCTTTATAGAGATGTCGGAAGCTTTAATTTTTATTTAGAGCACACTTTCTTAAATTTATTCGCTGTGTTGTCGTTTTTATTTTAATGAACGAACTAAAAAGTTTTCAAAATTTTTCTCAAACTTACTTACTGAATTTATTTTTTTTTACGTCGCCAACTAACGGTGCTGTACTAACTGTGTTGTTGACTGCTATTTTAACAATTTTATTTTGTTATAAAAAATATTTTATATTATTTGCTTTGAATTTACTTTAACTGCATCTGCTATTTTCCACACATCACCGGTATTATCGTGAATTAGGTTCTACAAATTGTAAAAAAGAATTAGAATTTTTCTTCATTTCAATATTTACTAGGTTGTTTTGCACAGTGTATCAGCAATGTTAATCGTTAAGTTTAATAAATGATACCGCTATTATTGTAATTTTTGTGTTTTTTTGCATTTGTTTTGTTTTTATTTTGTCTAGTAATTAGTCGTTGTTGCAAAAATAGGACGTGACTGTACTGGTTTGCTTATCGCTTTCATGTGAATTATGAATGTTTAGCTTATTTTAATTATATAAATCATTTGCTATTAACATTAATTTTTAGTTAGTTAACGGTTATTCTTTATTTTTGAATTTTAGTTTTTTATTTCGGCTTTTGCACTTTTAATATTTTTCTTTTGCTGTATTTTCTTGCATTTTCTTTAAGTGTAGCGTTTAAAATGTTTCATAATTTTTGTTGTGAAAGATTTCTGTTCTATTTATGTGTGTATGTATGTATTGTATGTACAAACATATATAAAGATTATTTTTTAGTGTTGTTATTGTTGTCGCTTGTTTTTTTTTTGTATTCATTCTTAATTTCTTTTTATATATTTTCTTTACTGAAAAAATGGAACACTAGAGTTAAAATTGCATAACTAATTTCAGTAAATTTTTATTTAATGCTTTATCATTATGGTATACACACAAAAAACAGTTACTTTATACACATCCCACCTCTCTCTGCAAATCGCGCTCTGAGCACGGCAACTGCACTGTTTTCGCACTTTTCGCAGCTTGTAATTTATGTAACTTTCATTTTCGTAACTCTCGTAAACTACAACTACACTAATGTTACCGTTCAAAAATTTTAAATGTGTAATTTCTAAACTAATTTAATGCTATTTTTTCAAGTGTATTTGTTTATTGTTTGTAGATTTGCTTAATTTAGTAACTTTTTTTTTTATAATTAAATTATTCCAGTGTTTAGTTATTTTGAATTATTTTTTAAATGTTCAATCTTAAGCCTACAACCTCAAGTATATTAAAGTGTATATAGAGTGTTTTTTATTTTAAATTTTTTCGTAGTTTTTTGAGTGTCCTTGCACTCAGAACTCATTCAAGTTTTACTGCACTTTAAAAAATTACACGTGATCATTATAATAATGTTTATTATTTTTAATATTTTAATTTTTTATTGTTTTATAAGTATTTTTTTTTCACTGCTAGTTGTTAGTTTATAACTATTTTTTGTTTTCAAAATTTTTTGTAAATAGTTCATCAACCTTTAATTGTTGCCTTTTTTATTGTGATAAGTTGAAAGTTGTTCTAGTTTGTGTATGTGTAAGTTGAGGTTAGGTTAATGGCAAACTTCAAATAAGATTTTTTCGTTTAAAAAATACATGAAAAAACCAAAATTAAAAAGTTTTTTTTAATTTAAAAAAAATCTAAAAAAATTAAATTTGTTTTTAATTTAAAATGACAAAATGAGTTAATAAAAATATTTACAAACATTTTTGCATACCACAAAATTTTCAAAACATTTAATTTTGTGATCTGTGGCAACTCTTTAAAGTAATTTAATTTATTCGTCGATAGTTTAATGATTCTCACCAGTGTTAAGAGAGTTCATATAAATGAAATTTCAGGTATTTATCTATCAAAGCGTTCGAGAAATCAGCTGTTTGGTTGACGTCACATTAGCGTTGGCTCACTCAAACCTCTAACTCGCTCTCAGAGTTCAGAGAACGTCGTTCTAGAAAACTGTGTAACGTACGTTCTCATTTATTCTTAAGACATTATACACATTTTCTTCCTTTAGAGTAGCCATCTTAGTTTCTTTCGTTATTTGATAATAACAAATTAAATTTTTGTGATATAGAATAAATAGATGGAGCTTGAATGAAACGTTTACTAAATTATATTACTTAAAATTTCTTCCAGCTAAGCACTTCTAACTTCTTCATAAGTAGGTATTTTTTCTCCTTTCTTTTATGTCGTTATCTATAGTACACGTTGGAAGTTCCACAAAACAGAGAATGAGTATATATCGCTCTATCTCCTCATTCTCTCTCTCTCGCTACCTTTTTCACTCTTTCGGAGTAGTCACTACAAGCCAAATTAAATCAGTGTACTCGTATTTCTCAAGAAAATAATTTTTTAGTTTTTGCTAATGATTTCTTATTGAATTTTATACTTTTTCACTGGCTATATTGGCGGTATTTTTTTAAAGTTTTTTCTTTGATTGTGTGATGTTAACTCTCTGAAAAACCCCGGAAGTTTTAGTTTTTTAATAACAAATTTTTTTGAGTGCAAAATTTAACCCTTCAATTACCGTCACATGGAGCCAAATGATTCTAAACTGACTCTTTCAATTTTATGCCACATTGTACGGCTTGAAACATTAAAGCGTTAACCCGCCAGTGATCAATACAAAAAATATGAAAAATTAAAAGGAACAACATTATAAAGAAAATAATTGTAAACTATTGCTCTTAACGAGTATATCGTGTATCATATTTAAGATTCGTTTTGTTTCAACTTGCAACACGCAAAATTATATACTAGATTATATACATACGAGTATATACTACATAAATTACTTGATGATGGGTAATAGACAATCGGTAATCATTAATTGCTAATTGATACTTATAAGTCTATATAAACAAGTTACAATGAGTATATTTTTTAATATTTTTTTTTTTAATAACAAAATAAAACAGTAAATATTAAATATTTAACAAACTGAGTACATAGAAATAATTAGAAATAAAACAAATTTGAATTAACAAAAACATAACCGCTCACTAACACATACATAGCGGCGCGGCTGACAACCAATCTCAGCTGTCTGTCAGACATACATAAACATATTATAACTAGGTACGTGAATATGTGGTGCTTATTGCTAAAATATTCGAGTGTGATTTGGAAATGTTGTTGACAACTTACGTCGGGCACATCGTGTGCGATGTACCGTGCCGCGCGCATGCTTATGAAGCACTGCGCGAGCGTCAAGTCAGGCGCGGCGCGTTGAGTGCAAAGTTTCGAGCGCGCGCTTAAACGCCGCCATTATTGCCCATGTAAATGAATTGCTGTTGTTGATGTTGCCACTGATATTGTAATGCTGCTGGTTCTTGTTGTTCCCAAGGCGTATACTGCTGTCGCTGCTGGTATGCACAGTTGCTGCTACTGCCGCCTTGCGCATTTCATATGCAACCGCCTACCACCGGCGCGCTTGTGGCCGCGCCAGCCGCCGTTGTAGTGGCCACCACAAGCGGCGTAGTTGTTGTTGCCACGCCACTCAACACATGCGTATGCGGCGCTGTGGCGGTCGATGTCACTGCTGTCGCTAACATATGTTGCGGCGCTGCAGCGGTCAGTATTTGTGGCGCGGCAGCATAATGGAATTGATGTTGTGCCGCCTGTGCCGCGGCAGCTGCGGCGTATTTCATTAAATGTTGTTGCGCTGCAGCGGCGCTATGCTGCTGATGATGTATACCGGACGGCGGATAAATGTATGATGCTGCTGTGGCCAACGGTGATTGCGGTTGTTGTTGCTGTTGGTGCGCTGCCAAAATTGGAATGCAATTCGAATTGTAATCGCTGCTGAGCAACAATGTGGGCGCGCCCGTGGTCAATTCATAAGCGCCGCTGCTGGCGTATGCGGTAAGATGTGACGGCGTCGCCTTCAGATAGGCAGTGGCATGTGGTGGTGGCTGTGCTGCTGGTATGGTGGCAATAGCAGTGGGCATGGTCACCGTGGATGTGGTCGGCAGCGTTGCGGTCGCAGAAGTGAGCGCTGTGGGCGAGGTGGCGATGGAACAGGATGACGATGAGGATGCTGAGGATGGTGAGTAGGGCGAATGGCAGGTGAAGTGTGGTAGATGGAAAGTGGCTGGTTGTTGTTGGTAGATCGTATGCGTGACGTGCTTGCTATTGTTGTTGTTAGCGGAGCTGCTGCTGCTGCTGCTATTACTCGGGCTGTAATGTGTTGTCGTGTAATTGTTGTTGTGTAGATAATTGTAGTGTTGTTGCTGTTGTTGTTGTTGTTGTTGTTGTTGCTGGTGAAGATGATGTTGCTGCGGTTCGATTATTATCAAATTATTATTGTAATTGGTGGCAATGCCAGTCGTTGCGGTCGCTGTCGCTGCTGCTGTTGACTTGGCATGCTGCTGATAATGTTCATGTGCCTGCTTTTGTTGTTGCTGTTGCTGTTGCTGTTGCTGCTGTTGTGAGATTGTATGCAATTGATTGTTCTGGTTGTGGTTGTTGTTGTTGTTGTTGTTACTGCTGCCATGGCTGCTTGCATTGCTGCTAATGCTGCTGCTGCTGTTGCTATGCATGCTGTTATTAGTATTGTTGTTGTTGTTGTTCGTATTAATGATCGCAGCCATAACATTCGCCGGCGGCAATACGATCGGTATATGATAATATTTACATTGCTTACGTCTGCATTGGCCGTTGGCATGGTCGCGACACACAGCCACACGTTGATCACATACTTCAACCTTGTCATCTAACGGTTCGACGCATAGTTGGTGAAACAATAATGAGAAAAATAGTTAAAAAATAGATTAGCAATTTTTATATTTTTTTCTTGTTGTTTTTGTATTACAAATAATTTACAAATACAATACATATATATATATATATATATAATATTTCTTTGCCTGTGTGAGTGTGCGTGTGCGTGTATGCGTGTGAGAGGGGAGAATAAAACATTATTATCTGTGTGTGTTTAGTGCTGGTAATTTATATATTAATATATTTTTAATATAATTTAATTAGTCAGATCACTTATATCTTATAAACATATGTATAAATAAACGAAATAAAAATTTAAGACAGATTTCGGTAATAAATTTACATTTTATTTTATATAAATTAACATAAAGGTATACATATATGGTATATATTGTATTAAATAACCTTAGAAAGATTAACGGCTAAGGATTGAGGTATCACGCTGCATTTTTCGTTGGACCAGATCTCTAGAACTTCACTTATGACAGTCTTTTTTACTTTCACTAACATATTCGAAACATATATAGACAATATATACAATAGCTAGGTTCTAACTTAGAATCTGTAGGTCTTGGAGATCGAAAATTATAAATAGCTGCCTGCACTGCCGAAGTCGAATTTTTTGATATTGAGAAATCGATAGTTTAAATGCTTTTATATATGATATATTCGAAATTGCTTGATAGTGCTGTTACAGTGCCGAAGTTTTTTCGACGTTTTCGGCGATATATACGTTGAAAGTGTGGTGTATACTACAAGCAACCACTTTGCTAAATTCAGAAAGAAAATCATACAGAACTGTTTACAGTTATTTAGCACTTTTCGTTTTATTTAGAATACGAACAAGCTAGACGAATTCATGACAATTGACCAGTAGACAAGAAATTAATAACATTATAGACACGAGAAGTTTTCTAAGGTCCGAAATATCTGAATCTCCAAACTGATTCTTCAATTGTATTTTAAACGTGAGCGTGAATTTTTTCATTAAAAGTTAACATTTTTCAATGAATTTGGTAGAAAAGACAATACTAGAGAGCCATAAATATTTCAGTTAAATTAGAGATATCAATAATGTAATTTCTAAATATGTCCAATATAGTGAAGAGTTGGAGAAGGCAGTCACTTTTTGCGCCAAACTACTTTTTCCAGAAGAACGCTTTATGTCAACGATTTCTGGTTACTTCCCAATATTAAATATGCTTGAAGTTCTCACTTAGGATCCCTAGAATACTATCATAGCATTTGAAAGTAGTGTTCGTAAGTAATCACTTTAGGTCCAAATCAGATTGACTTTGAACAAAAAAGAAAAAGTTTTGCAAATGTCTAACATGATATTCAAATGCCCACACCTATAGATATCTTATAAAGTTTGATTGCAAAAAATTTAGCATACTACTTTTCCACAGACACGATATTAGTCTCTCTATGTAAATATATGACTTTGTCTATCAAATTGTCAAACCTGCGCCTAAGCTAAAAGACAGAACAGACTGAAGTGACAGCAGCAGTGTTGCATTTAAAGTTACTAGGTGGGAAATATTATACGCTAAATCACTGAATTTCACTGAATGAAAACTGTCTTAATAATTTAGCAATTATGGATTTCTTAAAACCAATAATATATTTATAGAAAATATTTTAATTTGATCAGTTTTATAATTTTTTTTTTAAAGAAATGTTGACTTATATACAAATATATATATTCCATTGTCGAATATATGCTTAAGTTGTGGGAAATATTTATTATAATATTTTGTTTTGTAATTTTTTAAATTTTATTTTAAAGTTTTTTCTGAGTACATTAAAGCGTTCAGCAAGATTTTTCAATGTTAAATATTACAAAAACTAAAATTTAACTAAAAGAAATGAAAACGCTACTTTATAATGCCATATAAATACTATAAAAGCAGTAGCTATAATTCGCAGAAAGTACACTAAAATTGTATAAAAATGAAGCGTTTAAAGTGTAAGGCAAATTATATGCGTAACGCACGCGGTAGGCGTGTCATGTGCTCGGTTAGCTAAATATACGTACATAGGCACATAAATACGCAAAAAAGTTACTAAAAATATAACGATAAATATAGATTAAATGAAAAATACTAAAACTAACTAAGAACTAAAAAGTAAATAGCAATGGCATGCACTTACCTTCAGTTAAATGAACGAATCTACAATTTAACCGACTGCACATAGATCTATTGAAATCTTGGCACACCGGGAGGGTGTCCAGTAACTATTGATTTTGTTGTTGTTGTTATTACGATTATTGTTGTACGTTTGTTCAACAATAATTGGATTTTATGTGTAGTTGTAGTAGTAGTTGTTGTTGTTTATTGTATGGCAATGCATATGGCGAATGCGGATGCGTTTCAAATACGTTACGTAACGGTTTACGATTTCAATACGGATGCGGGCACAAAACAAGTTGTACAAAAATACCACAAATCAAATAACCAATCAGTCAAACAAATACGGTATATTTGGCAAAAGGAAAAAAAATAACGGAAAAAGTAACGGAAATAATTTCGAGCAGCGCATAACAGCCAAAAATAATCCAATAATCCAATATTTTTACGAAATAAAATCAAATCAATATTTATTTTTTGGCACATTTTCGTCGTTGTTTTTCGTTTGCAAAATTTTGCAATTTTTCGCATTTGTTTTTGCAAATACATTTAGATTTATGTTTTTGGTCAGAAAAAAATGAGAAGAGAAGAAAAAAAGAAAGAAAAAAGAGCAAAAATTAGTATCACATGTTTACTATGAGTCAATAATACATACATTATATAAAGATAATCAATAATAGCGGTATGTAAATACAAATATAAATACATTTTCTATTTTTTTTTGTTTTCAATTTTTTTAATGTAAATATATATGTTTTTGATTAATAATTTCAGTATCAATCGAGTAGTTACGGCACGACGCTGGCGTTTGATATGGCAACAGCTTCTTTTGGCGCTTTTTGAGCGGCACTCTCGTACTAAAATTGCTACATTTCGGCTATACCGTTGATGATGGTTTGCGCTATTGCTTAATATATACTATATGCTATATTTAATTTTTAATGTGTAGTTGTGTTTGCATAGAGGTTTTTTTTGCACAAATATTCTATGCTAATTTTGCTAATTTAAATTGCTTTTTCTATATAAAAGTTTATATATATATGTATATTGAATAACGTCACTTTGACAGCGCGCAATATGTACTAAAAATAATTATGATAAAGCGCTAATTAATTTGGTTGTATAGAAATAAAGTTTGTGTTGTTGTAACGCGTAATTAGTAATGCATTTAAAAAGCTCATAAATTTCGTTTTTTAATTTCGTCTGTAATTATTCATAATATTTTGAAGTGTTATGAGAAATTATTAGAAAAATTTACTAAATATTATTAGAAATATTTATTAATATACTATTTAAAGTCAAACAACTATTAAATTTATAAAAACATATTATTTTAATAAAATTAGAAGCTTGCGAGCTTTAAAGTTTATTTCTTGAAAAGAAGTCTGCAAACGAAGTGTTTTCTCAAAGAAGCGCAATAATATCGAATTTGAGAGAGCTTTTAATCAGCAGTAGTACAAAGCAGTTTTGAAAATAATGGAATAACTATTACAATTATTTTGTAGAATTTTTAACTGAAATATTTTATATTTTTGAAAGCTTACTGAGCGAAGTGAGCTTTTGAACTTTATAAGTCAATAAATGTATGAGTAAGTAAATAAAGCCGAAAATCCTTTAAGCTAATTTATTGAAGGCAACTTTACAAAGTAATCAATAATTTATATTAAAGAGCTTAAAAGCTTTAAGAGCTAGTTTCACAGTCAGTATTGCCTTTAAAAATTCGCAATTCTAGTTAAGTTATATTAAAGAGCTTAATAGCTATGTATAGTAGTTTCACGATCGTTATCATCTTTAAAAATTTCCACTTTTTTAGTAAATGTGTTTCATAGAAAATTAATATTAATGATTCTAAGTATATTTATGAAAGTTCATGACGAGATATAAGCTTTTAAATCATATAAGACAATATTATTTAAAAAAAAATTTCTTGTAAGAGAGCTTTTTGAAAAGCCTTACGAGAACAAAGCGTTTAAATGTAAGAAACCTTATATCTCTGAGCTTAAGACTTGTAAAGTTTGTAATAATTAAAATGAAAATTATTGAGCTGACTAGAAGCTCTGAAAATAGCATTTTGCAGTTGCGCTTGGTAAGTTTGATTGTACAATATCACTTTACAATAAAATATTTTTTAAAATATATTTTTTAAATTTTTTAAAAATAATTTTATTACTCTTGTACAAATTTAAAGCTCTCCATGTTTTTAAATACACTAAAATATATAATATTATTTTTGCTTTAATAAGTGAATGAATTTAATAAGTGAATTAAAAGATAAACTATTTTAAAGCTTTCATTGAAAGTGACTCAGCAATTAAAAAAGAAATTATCTACGTATAAGTTCAGCTTCAGCTGCTTTTAATTGGCATAAAAGCTCGGAAAATTTAAAGCTCAAAAATAACAAAAGCTCTGTCAATGTTAAATCAACAACCATGAAACAAAATTTCATATTTCTATACTTCCAACAAATACTGCCTGGTTAGTATTTAACAAAACTAAGACTATGATCTCATTATGGTTTAAATATTTTAAATAAATTGTTACAGTTAGCTATATTTCTAAATAAGTTTACATAAGCGAACTTAAATGAAAGCTAAATTGCTAAGCTTTAGTAAATTGCTTATTTTTCTTTCATATATGTATAGTGAAACATAAAATACATTATTTTTTAAATATGAGGAATCCATTTTTCTGCAAACTTATAAACGTACAAAAAGACTATGACATACATTTAGGCGCCTAACCAGTGTAGAACAAGGCCAAAAGCACAACTAGATATAAAATAAAAAAAATTCTTAAGTAAAAGAGCAAAAAATTACGCTTGGGACAACCATTCAAGTACCGTTAACAGATCAGTTTAAAATAAGACTAGAAAGCTGATTTTGATATTAATAGTGGCGAAAAGCTTTAAGCTGAGTTTGTAGAACTCAAGTAGTAGAAGAGTATAGTGAAAATATGGCGGTATTTGTAAGCATGTAAATAAGTCAAGCTTTAAAGCTTGAAAGCAGAAGCGGAAGCTTGAAGCTTTCACATGTAAATAATTGCAAGTTCAGTTGTTGTAGTTGCAAGAAAAAAGCTATTCAACTCACTTTTTCAACTCACTTCTCTGTTTTATGCGCATTTCGTACGCTTTTTTAACGTTTTTGTTTTTGATATCGTTTGCTGTAGCTTTCGTCATTTTGCAGATGGCAATTCGATAGTAACTCAATTAAATGCTTTCTTTTGATTTTTGATTTTATTGTGATTGAAATTGTTCTCAATTTGATTTGCAGTGCTTGTGTCGTAAATTTTCACTAAGGAATGTTTTGAAGTCTTAACACTTTCGATTTAATTGCCTTGACTAAAATTGAATTTACTTCGATTTTGATTAACGATTTTTGATTCTGATTATCAATTGGTTTAATTTCAGTTTTTTTTTTTTCAGTGAGCTTATGAACTAATGGGCTGTCTTATGCAGTAACAGTTACATATCCTAATAGGCGGCACTAGAAATATACAAAAAAGAGAAAGAGAAAAAAGAAAGAAAATATATACAAGTTTTGACATTTGAGTAAAAGTTACGAGTATTACGTATAAAAAATAACTGTAAAGAATTACGGGCTTAAATATTCTTGTAATTAAAAAAATTATTATTTTCATGTTAAATATTGGTGAGAGTGCGCGAAGTTTTTAATTTGAAAGTGAAGCTATCTGATATGCCGACTGAGTTTTGCTGATTTTGCTTGGAACAGTACGAATACAATTTTGGGGATTTTAATAACCGAATGCTAAGCTTGTGACATTTTAAAGTAAGTGTAGTTGTCCGTTACTTATTTGTGTTGTTTAACTTGACAAATTAAAGCTGCACACTCAAAATATTTCACCTCAAGAAGAGAAAGCTTGCAAAGCTTAAATGCTGTAGGAATTATACATATGAAAGTTGCGCTTATTATATTCAGATCGGAATTTGAATGCAAATAATATTTTGTAAATTACGAGCAAAAAATTTGAAAAACAATTTCATTAAAACTTAATGCTCTGCAACTTTAACAAAAGCTGTTTCGCATTAACAATGAAACATTTTAAATTGCCATAAGTTGGGTACATAATTTTGATGTAGTGAGCTTTCACATTTTTAAAGAAAATTTTAGAGCTTTAAAAAAAGTTTTACTATATAAAAAAATTGAGCTTTCACAGCACTAAAGCTTGAAAACGTATTCGACGGTTTTTGGTATATTAAAAGTTTGACAAATTAAAGCTAAGCTTGTTCGATTCGTTTGCTTAAAACATTTTAAAAAAATATTCAAATGTCTAAAAGCTTCAAAATTATTTTTGTCAATATTGTATAATCTAGTTATTTTGATTGAAAACACAAAGGTTTACAAACACATTTCTACAAATAGTATATAAGCATTTATTGGTATAAAGATGATAAACAGCACACGTAAGCTTTTCTGGGGAAACAATGCAAGTGTGAAGAGTCTAGAGTTTATTGAAGTTTTCTGTATGTATTTGTAAGCTACTGCATAGTTGTATATAAGCTAAGTGAAAGCTTTTATATGTAATGTAAGCTCTTGCCACAAATAAGCTCAAGCTGTAGGCATAAAGCTTTTAAGCCGCAAATTAGGAAAAGAAACTATATATTTTGTTTCAATTTATAACGGTTTTCTGTTACCTAATCGTATAAAAAATGCCATTAATTAGCACCGGACACTGTGGATAAAGTACCCGCCGATCCGTATGAGCTGTACGGCAATATTGGTTTTTGTTTCAGTGGCAAATTGGCGCAATTTAGTATATAAAAATGAAAAAAAATAGAGAGAAAATATTTTATAAAAAAATATTAATTTACTTTAAAATACTACATATAAATATGTATGTGCCTACAATATAATAAAATGGAAAACTTATAACTTTGATAGCCTTTTTACGAAAGCATTAAATAAGTATAGAAGCAGCAAATCGAATTTTTAATGATTTGCGTAAATTTTAGAAATGAGCTTTCAAAGTTCACCAAACTGCATAGTCAAAACGCTGGTAGAAGAAAATTTTTGTAGTTAATATTTTGAAAACATAAAAAATTCAAAAAATTTGATATATTGTATGGGTGTATAATTGCTGTTGAAGTTGTCAGGTAGTCCAAGTATATAAAGCATATTTTTGCAAAGCACAATAACATAGCCACGTTTTGATGATATTTGATGATGAAGTCAAAAAGTTATTGTTTAAGAGTTATACCTAGAAGCTGTAAAAGCTTTAAGATCATTATTTGTACATATATTGATTTCAATCGATTGAGCTTTTGGTATGTTACGAAGTTTAAGCTTTAAGCATGGTTAAAATTAATATATAAATAGAAAATTAATATGTCGTAAATATATTTCTAAAAATATATTTTATTTTATTTTTGCCAAATAAAAGAGGATGAGATGAAAAACAAGCTTTAAGCTCAAAATGAATAGTAGTTCAACTCCTAAGACTAAAGCGAGAAAAACTGGAATAATTTTGTATTATCTTTGGAAATATTTGCATTGCAATGCTCCATATTAGTACTTCATTTAAATGTAAGAGCTTTAAGCTCGTTTTAGTAGAAACATATAAGACGTTTTTAAGCGAAAATTGAAAATGGATATTTAAGGGCTGTTTTGAAGTCAAAATTGTGCACAATTTTCTTTTATTTCAGCTTTTGAAGGTTATTGAAAAAGCTGTTAGAGAGAGCAAAGTTTACGATGATAAGAAGCTTATAAAATGAAATATTCTAAATAACAGTTATTTTGTATAAAAGCGAAACAATAAATTTGTATGACTATTTGTAACCAAAAGCTTTGAAAAGCTAGCTCCATCCCTTATGTGATAGCTCTGGAAACAAACTTAACTGAATTGCGATCAACACTTATGAATCAATATAGTGACAATAATCACAAAGATTTTATACTATTATTCAGTTGCAAGACTGAAAGCTTTCGGCGTAAATATATTTCTTTAATACTGCATACATTCCACTAAGTTTAAATGTAGCAATAAATTAAGAGCCAATGCCAAGGTGTATTTGCTCAAACTTTTGTGAATTTTCACGTAAAAATTGCTTTCTTGCACCGAACGAGCTTCAAAGCTTGACAAGCAACTGTACGCTTCATTGGTTTTTATGGTGTTGTTCGTATATTTTTTATTGACTGCAACTAATATACATAAATATAGTGTTTATTGCTTGCAAATTTTATTGCAGTTTGCTAAAGTTCCGCCACACACCGTTATATACCAATGGATACGGGTGTGTGTGCGCTCATAAAAAGCGCCTTGCAGCAGTTTATCACTCAATGAAGTGTTGAGTTATTTGTTTTATAACACAGTGGGCGGCAATTATTGCCTTCATTTCGATGGGGTGTTGCCGACAAGCGCCTGTCGTTAAAGCACATGGGTGGGGGAGGGTGTGGCTGCAACCAAGACAACTGCGCATGCTAGCTATGGTCATGGTATGGCATGCTATTGGCATTGCCAATGGCCACTTGTTGACACTTTAAGCATTTAATTCGATTATGTTGCGCTTGTGAAAGCTCCAAGGACGCGCAGCATGCCGGCGAATTGCAGCAAAGTTATGCTTGCGCTCGTTTCATTAGTCAGCTACATTACGACGCCGCCGCTTCTTTACGAGTGTAACTTATTTAATTTCCATTTTTCAGTTTTTATTTTTGTTTTGTGCTTTGCATTTCAAAAGTTTTACAAGCAAATGCTTTTGCGGTTATTTAATTACGATTTTAGTGCATTTTTTTTGGCCTGCAGCGTTTCCAGTTAATGCAACTGCATGGGTTGTTGGGTGTGCATGGCTGGTTGGCTGGAGTGGCATATTTTATAATGCCGTTGTTGGTTAGTGTAGTGGCTTGAGTTGAGTTGAACTTGTGCTTTTTCCTCCGTTATTGTCTGTATGTGTGTCTGTGTAAGTATGTGTGGGACATAATTGGAGTTGCTAATGATTTTCACTGTTCAAGGGGAGTACTTTGACAGTTGTTGTGCATTTTGGGTAAAGGTTGGAAGGGTTAAGCTGGTATTATTATTTTTTAAGTTTTTCATAATAAGTTTAAATATAATATATTTAAATATATACATATGTATATTAAGTTTAAAAAACGTGGATATAAAAAATTGTTTTTATGTCAGTAGTTTGACCTCCTGTAGCTAGTTGGCGCCTTATTTGTCTTTTTAGATGTCATTACATATATGTATGTATATATGTATGCCTAGAAGTTCTAAGATAATCTATTAATACTGAAATTCAATAATATTAGATTTAGAATGAAACTAAACTCACTCAAAACTTTTCTTTTAATTTGTATAAACTTAAAGCATACGTTTAATTTCGCTATTTTAATAATTTTCGTAATACCATATATTTGTAATGGTTCGTGAAAACCATTGAGTGGATATAGAGTAGGTATAAAAATATTTTGATTTTGATTCATAGTTTGAGTCCAGGTAGAGGTAAAAGAGATGTTTTAAATTTTAGTACAAACTTAGTACGAATTTTGAGCAATATTTTTATATAATCTCTAATTTTCAAAGATTCTTGCGCAGCATGAAAGGTAATAAACATATATTAGAAACCAGTTTTGGCATTTTACTACACTGCTACTTAAGATTCACAAATATTTCAATGTGTGAGGACCTTAAGTATAAGCTTCTTTGTTTATGAATTTGAGTGAAAAATTTAATACCTTATTAGAGATAGTTTAGTACTAAATAAATAATTTACATTAAATTACCAATAGAAGGTTTGCTCAACGTGAAAGATACTAAACATATATTAAAAAACTTATTTGCAGTTTTAAGTACAGTGCTACTAAATACAGACACACAAATATTTCAGTATATATGAGCTGTAGGTATCAGCCTACATTTTTTGCAATGCAGGTTTTGATTAAACAAATTTAGTGCACTTTTTCCATACGTCACGTTGTTCAAGAAAATGAAATAACTAATAGTAAATATACTAAATTTTACACATGAGTAAACGTATAAATTTGAAAAATTTTTAAACTTTGTATACAACCTTTAAAATTTTAGTACACAATTCGTAAGACGAGCACATAAATACTCTATGCTTTTTGGTAAATTTTTGCTACGTTGCTGATATGTACTCCATCGTTTATTTTTCAGCTCATTGTGAAAAGTACTAAAAGTTAGTTCGTGGTTCTTCTGCAACTTTTAGTATATTTTTAGTACACTTTTGCAGTAGCATAAAAAGTACATAGCATTTGTGGATAAAATAGTCTACAATTAATGATGCAGCTTTCTTAAACCATTTTAGTACACTGTACCGGTATAGAGTCAAATAATTTTATATGAGATATATATCATATTGCAGACTATGCATTTTAATTTCTAAAATCGTATGGCGTAAGAACTATATGCAATGGAGTAGCTTTGAAAATTTAAAACTTCTTAGTACACCTTTTCGTTACTAATTTGTAGTTCTATGTAGAAGTATGCTTGAAAAACATATTTTAGTAATTTAAAAATATTTTAGTACCATATTTAATATTTTATTTTGAATCGAAACTTCATAAACTTCCTTGTAACTAAATCTGCTTCGTTAAAGTAAAGCTTACTTTTGGACTTAGATTGAAGAATTGAATTTTAACACTAAATTTTATTTTAGTACAGCACTAAAAAGTGCCAAAAAATATTCAATTAACACTTATTAGCGAGACTCTTAAATGGTTCCGAACAGACATATCAGCATTGTATTTTGTTTTTGCATTTTGATGCTAAACAAACACATTTTCGTATTTTTAGAATATTTTAGTACTTATTAATCTAATCTAACTGAACTTCCTGTTAATGAAATTTTTTCTTAAAAATACATCTCATTATTGGATTTTAGTAGAAGAATTTGATTTTTAGTTCTAAATATTATTTTAGTACTGCTCTATAAAGTACCTGAAATAATCAATTACCACAAATAAGTGGCTATATTCAGGCACATCTTTTTGGGCATTATTTTACTAATCACAATTTTGCAAAATATTTTGCGTGAGTTTAGTGTTGTTCTAAAATTATTCTATACTAATAATTTGTGTAATAATTATGCAAGTACATAACAGCATCCTTAAAATAGCTGCTCGTTATTTATAGTTTTGCAGAAAAAAGGATTTTACAATTTTTTTAAATATTTTTTTTTTTGCTTTTTGTTTTTGTTTCGCTTTTGTTATAACAATTTCTAAAAATAAAATATAGTTTTTCCAGTTATAAAACTACCTTTATACTACTTTATATATATAATAGATATTTGTCTTTTTTTAAACAATTTTTGATTCTTCGCTTGCCTCAAAATAATATGCGCTTTAAACTAAAACAACAACAAAGTATTATTTAAGCTTCAATTTTAGTATAGGCAAAAAACGTTTGGTTGTTAGTAAGCGCCTAAAAGTATAGTGAAAATATTAATTAGTACATTCATTCATGGTTTTGTGAGAGTTGCTAAGTGCGCTAAACGCTTCACAGTTGCGGGCAAAACCACATATAAAAGTATGTATGTTTATAACTGTAATGCAAAAGCGCTCTAAAGCTCATCTTCTTTGTTAGTGTTTTTCAAGTGCTAGTAAGGCTATGAACTATAACACTTTACATAACAACAAATGTGCACTATTTAAGCACTCGCAGTTAACACTTTCGTTTATTAACTCTTATATAAATAAAATATAAATATATATATATAAACTTGCGTTTCACTTGGTTTTTGGGGGAAAACAAAATCT